CTAACAAGGAAAAAAGAAAAAGAAATGCTCAAATGTTTCTGCCCTCTTACTGGACAGTTTATTCCCTTTGCATATATTTGTCATTGGACACATTAGTTTGCAAGCTGGTGCTGGAGCAGCTAGGGATAAATCCATGTGTGTATTGATAAGATTGCCTGAAATGATTGGTGTAGGTAGATATGAGAAAGGAAATCTAGAGATCTTCTAATTGTAGAAGGATTGCATCTGACCAAACTCAGATTAATGGTTTAGAATGAGGTATTGTTGCATTTTGTCACAATGTGAGAAAGAAAAGTATTTTTACCTTAGAGAGTCATAAATTTATGACATACATACAAAATTTGATGTAGGTAAAGGATCTTGAAGATGTTACCATTGTTGGCGTTAATGTCTAAGATGTTGTAACTGAAATAATTTCTAACTCATGCTTTAATTGAAAGATATTCCTCAGTGCTTTGGACCAACAGACCGCTGCTAATCCTCTAGCTACCTTCCACCCTACCAAACCATCCAAAATAGAGTTTGCAAAATTTATTTTTGTTGCATGGACCATGTGTGAACTTTTGAGCGTGCCCTCATTGATTTTGCTGGCTTCAGACCTACCTCAACAGTGGGCCTCAACAGTTTGGATGGTGAAAGTAGGTAAGTGCAACAGCTCTAGGGAAATGCTGATGGAGATCAGACAGCAACTGAGGAAAGACCAGGCATCCTTGCGTCCTTCTTTCTTGTGGAGGACCGTAAAGTAATCCCAAAAAAACTGTGGGTAAAATTGAGCATTTCCAAGCTGACAGTGCCCAGTGACCAAAGTTGCACCCAGTGCTGGAAAGGCTGCCCCAAGCACCTCCAGGTGCCTGGAGACACTAGCCAAGCCCGTGGCTCTGTCTGCAGGAGCGATACCTGTGGGGACGCAGAACAGTGTGCAAAATAGACAAACGTAGCCACTGCAGGCATGAAAACCACAACCCAGGATATGAGCAGCAGCAGCAAAGACACTGGAGTGTCCTAGCTGGGATTAAAGAAGCTGCAGATACATCAATAATTTCTTTGTGTACTTGGTAACTTCAGCAGCTGGCATCAGAGCTGTTGCAGGCAACCAACGGGACCAGTAAAACCAACGGTTTGGCAGCTGAGCAAATGCAGAAAAGAAGTGTATCATGTTCTCACTGGTTTTCTTAGCATGAAGAAAAATCACAATGCGCTGCTAATTGGAATGAAGTTTTGAAATTTTTTCTAAGGGTTTAATAGGAAAAGGATGAACAAATGCATGAATAATTTAGCAGCATGTAAAACTTCATTCCAGATTGAATTAGTGTTCTTTTCAGTGAAGTTTAATGTAATTCTAACTATAACTGCATCTAAACAACCTTTGTAAATTTTCAGATTACAAATAACCAAAAGTCTTCAACCTTTGGTTACAAAATCACAAAGGTCTTCAGCTTTTCTTCCAAGTATGACAACTTTTTAGGGCCTGTGCCTTATGAGAACACATAAGCTGATTTTTTTAAAGGCAATAAATGTCAGTGGATTGATATTGCTTAATATGATGAATGGTGGCATTTTCAAAGTTTTGGCTGTCTTTATTAAGTGTTTAAAAAGCTTTCAGATGCCCAGTATTTTTTTGGCAACTTCACTAAAACAGAACCGAGAATGAGAGATTCGTCTCCTGACTGCAAAGCATTTCAAAGTTTATCAGCTCTCTGGAAGGAAGAGCAAGTTAAACTTTGAAGCATGGGCATGCCATAAACTGTTGGCCTCGTAGGGCTTTGGAGCAGCGGAGCTGGGTCATTCGCCTCCTCTTGTTTCACGTGGTGTTGGCGGAAGCTGGGCCTGGGTGGCCTGCAGGAGAACAGCAAAGGGCTCGGTGGACCGTGGGGCTGTGAGCAGCGATGGCTCCTCCTGGTTGCGTCTGGCAATAACCATTTTATCCTCGCGTGGAAGGTGCCGGTCAGCAGCGCTTCCCGGAGCTGGGGGTGCTGAAGGCAGCGAGACCTGGATGCTCTGTCACAGCTGCAGCAATAAAAATGGCTTCGGTTTTGCTGGGTCTTTAAAGCCGGCGCCCCAGGCACCTGCGTCCCAGGCACCTGCACTTGTGAGCTTCAGCTCATGCCAGGGTGTGATTCCCTTCTGCTGAAATCAACCCAAAAGATGCAAGCCAGGAGCGCACCCGGAAAGCTCCCGCTACCCGCGAGCAGTCGGTCCTGGATGCCGGAGCAGAGCTGGTCAATTCCCCCGAAATGCGCTCAGCAGGAGCGCGGGGCCCTCTGCACCAGGGCCGCTACCTGCTCACCTCAGCTCGGCCTTTCTTGCCCCACTGCTCTAGGAAGCTGCCTGCTTTGTCTGTGCTGAGAGCTGCCTTTAGAGCAGCATCACTATCACACACCCAGGGCAAGCACCACCAGCTCTGTGTAACACAAACTTCAGGTACAGAAGGATTTGTTTTTAATATGTCCTATTAGCTTGTAAAGTCAAGTGGATGCTAATTTTTGTGATTTCCCCATGTTACTGAAAACTGACGGCGATACCTCACTTTTTTTTTTTTTCCTTTGTTAAAGTCTTCATTAAACAAGTTGGACTAAAGAATGCCTGCAAGTCCCTAGTGTGAATTCACACACTCACTGGCAGAGAACTAAATGCCCATGACTGCTTTAAACCTTACAAGTAGTCTTTATCCTCCAAATCTGGGTACAGTATATCACAACATACACATCTCAGAGGAGCTCTTCATGAGTCTTTAGCAGTGGAGGAGCTCTTCTGTGCACCACTAAGGAGCGTGGCTGCAAGTCAACTAGTGATCAAACTGTCCAGAGCTCCGTGTCTCCCTGCGGACTGCGGAGAGTCTGTTTTCCAGGGCCTCTTTCTGGCAGAACATCATTGGAAATGTCCTATTGCTCTGTAAATGGAGTAAAACCAGTCTCCAGTTTAACCCGTCAGTTCCTTCTCCGCACATCTATGAGCATTTTGTGTGTTTGTCATTGCAGTCTTGGTACCTCCTGCAGGATCCCTCTCCCACTGAAGCCGTCTTCTCTTCCATGATGGATCTGATCTCACAAGCCCCTAGGGCACTTCCAGGCAAGGCTCTCTGATACATTCAGCTGTGAAAAGGGGTAGATCCCTGCAGAAACCCATGTCATTGGATGGTAAACAGTTTAAATATTCTTTTGCCAGATCTTTGCACTTGGTGACATGCCACATGGCAGAGGAAACACCCATTGTATATGACAGAAGTCAGGGTAACATTTTGAAATGCAGGTATTTTAAAATATGATTCATAAAATCTTAAAAACCACAAGCAGATGTCCAGTTTAACTTTACCAGGATTATCATGGGCTCGCTTACAAAAAATGCATTTTAAAGTATCTTTTGTTATGAAGGCCTG